TTCTGTGCGTATTACAACGACTATTACAACTATTGCAAGAACCCACCAGATTTGGAGCAGGTCACGAACCGTCAACACTGGATTTAGTGCTGACTGACGAGGAGCTGATGGTGGAATCTGTCAGTGTCACGTCTCCACTAGGACGTAGTGATCATGCCGTATTGATGTATGATTATATAGGATACGCATCTACCCAAGAAAACCGAAAGAGCAGTACTCGTGGGATCATAGACTACAAAAAGCTGCAAAACCTGGCAATGCTTAAGCAATGGATCCTCCCCGAAGATAATCATGATCCTTTGGTGGCATGGAAGCTCTTCACTGACTACCTTACCTAAATTGTAACGGCTGCGTCATGTGTTAAAGTTTGTGCCAAAATCAATCTCGTCATTCATTCATTCGGAGCCGAACAAAGAAATGGATAGAGCAAAGGAACGTTTCCTGGCGGGAGTACAGAAGATGTCCATCTTTCGAAACTTGGAAGAATTATTCCTTACTGCGAAATCAGTGTACCAAGTTGGTAAGAGAGGACAAATTGATGTACCAAGTAACCTTGGCTCAAAAATTCATTTCTGATCCAAAATTGCTTCATAAACATATCAATTCTACAAGGAAGGTGAAATGTGGAATACCAGCATTGAGATCGTCTGGACATGTTTCAACCACTACTCTAGAAGCAGCAGAGTTCCTCAAAAAACAGTTCGCTGAGGTTTGTACTGCAATGACACAGATTTCAAGCAAACTACCCTGTATACCGTATCTGTCACTGGATAACATGACTTTTGACAATGAAAAAGTTGGAGCAAAACTACTAACTTTGCGCAAGAATTCATCCCTAGGCGCAAACAACATGCATCCCCGGACTCTGATGTCGCTGGCCAATAACATTTCTGAAACTGGCTGTTCTTTACCAAAGGATGTTCAACGAAGCAGTAATTCCGCAGTCATGGATGGAAGGGGTGATTTCTGCCATTTACAAAGGGGGATCTCCCAGTGATCCAGCCAACTACCGCTCTGTTACACTTCTTCCGGTATTGCCGAAAGTCATGGAGGCTATTGTGGCAGATCTGTTGATGGAAAATCGGGAGAAGCATGAGGTTTTGTCTCCAACCCATCACAAATTTCGGCACAAACGTTGGTGCACCACAAACCTGCTCCTTGCACGGGATGAGTGG